TCTCTCTCTCTCTCTCTCTCTCTCTCTCTCTCTCTCTCTCTCTCTCCTTCTCTCTCTCTCTCACACACACACACACACACACACACACACACACACTAAATGCCAGGTACCCCGACCTGATGGTAACGCACTCACAAAGCATTGAAACGTCTCATGGTACCCCATAAATAAGTGCACTTACTAGGTGTCGATTCAAATTTTTAAAAATGTACCCTTAGTCCTGGAGATGGCGTAGGGTCACTGTGTTTCATTCGTATATTCAACAGATATTTTTATGGCTCACTACATCTACAGTTACATGACAAGGTGGGGTTGTTTTTGCACCCCATGACCCCGTTCGGATGGGCTGGAGTGGGTTTTACCAGCGGCTCCCAGGTGTCAGCCTCTAAGAAGGGGGCATCCCAGGACTGCTCAGCCAGCCTCGGCTTCAGAGACTTTAATTATTTTCATGAACTGCCTTTATTAAAATGTTCACTTAAATATAGCCTTCCCCAAAGACGCTTACGAAGCACAAGGTGTTTTAAAGGTACGGAAGGAAAACGGCTGTTTATGGACCCCACATCCCAGCACAGGGGTGGGAGATGTGGCCGCCACTTGTCCAGGAAGGATGGTGTCCGAGGGCCACCGGCTCCTGTGCATCAATGAGCATTCAGATCGAGGCTTCTCTGACCACGCAGGGACTGAAAGAGCCAGGGAGGTCCAGGCCAGCCCCTCACAGTGGCTTTCACCACTAGCTGAGCTCGAGGTCAGGCTTTGTCCCCAGATGAGCCCCAGGGATGGACCGTGGTGAGAGCTATTCTGAGAGGATCCACAGGAGATGCAGGCAGGAATCCATAGGAACCCTGGGTTCCTGCCGTGTAGCGATGCTCTCTGTCCCAGTGGACGTGACCAATGCCCCCCCAGCTGCTCCAGCCAGGAACCGGGGATCACCCTCCTCACTCAGACTCTGGAGCTAAGGGCCGGCGATTTAGCTCAGTGGCACCACACCTGCCTTGCAAGCACGCAGGATCCTGAGTTCCGTTCCTGGTACCCAGAGTATGCTACAGATCCCCAACCTTCAGTGTGGGTTGCACCATGACCTCCCTGCAAAGACCATGGTCTGACAGTGAGGAAAGAGAGGACTTCACAATGGAGAAGATGCCCATGTTCCCTCGGCCAGGCAGGCAGGGCTGAGGCCCCCGGGGACGGCAGGCACCTCTACTGGATGTGTGAGAAACGCCACTTTCATGTCTGTGAGTGTCTTTCCAACCCACAACCCCAGTCTCACGGTGAGAAAACAGTAGACCGACCTTGATGGAGGGACATCCTCCAAGACCTGACCAGTGCTCCTTAAAACTGCCAAGGTTGCCAGGTGTAGCGGTACACACCTGTAATCCAAGCATTCTGGGAGGCTGAGGCAGGAGGATCTCAAGTCTGAAACCAGCTTGGGCAACCTAGTGACTTAGCCAAACTCTGCCTCAGAATAAAGAATAAAGAGAGGGTTGGGTTGCAGCTCAGTGTGAAAGCCCTGGGTTCAATCCCCAGTAAACACACACACACACACACACACACACACACACAC